GGTCAGTCCTGTCAGGTCAGTCTTTGTATCAAAGTCTTCCCTGCGCCATTCAGCACCTTTTGTATGTATGAGAATGTACATTGTCTGTCGAGATTCTACTCGCACTGTATTGTCCAGTCAGTCCTTTTCATCACACTGCAGTTCCTCGGTTATTACGTACATTGCATATATCGTCAAATAGAATGTGCATGTAACAGTTGGTATCGGAGCTTCTGCACGTGAATCAGGACACCCTGATCTGACACGTGTGCGGGGACCAAAAAGCTAGTTAGTCTTTATTGGTTGATTAGGACATACTAGTTAGACCCCAAAATCACGATATTGACCTCACTACCGAAAATCGAATTTTTTTTCTTTTCTTGGATTTTATTTTCTCGCTATTCTGTTGTGGAAAATAGCAAAATCGCAACATCTGAAAATCCCATTTTCGTTTTTCTTCTGAAAATTCGAAATTTCGCTGTTGGAAATCCGGAATATTTTTCTTTTCAAAAATTTTGATTTCCTGTTGCGTTTCCCATTACTTAGAAATTCGGAATATTTTCTTTTCTGAAATTCGTTTTCTGAAAACGGTACGGGAAATACCTCCTGCAGTATTATTTTCCAAACTGCGAATATTCTCATCGGAATAAATTCGAATATTTGTCATTTCGGTTCGGATTTTTTTTTGCAGATCTGGGATTCTGTCGTTCAGTTCTATAAAGCATTGGCAGTCTAAAGTCGAAATTTTTCTTTCAGTGATCATTTCGCACTTCAAGGGAGGTTGAGAGACCTACCGAACTTGCAAAAATCGGGATTTTTTAATTATTTTTCTCGAAATTTTTTGCAAAGTTCAAACTTTTCTTGTTTGATCAGTGGCTCCTTATCTAAGTGATTGGTCGGGCGATTAAACCACCCACCCCTCCCCACCTATGTTGTTGCCATCTCTCGCCTTTCCGTTTCTGTTGGTATCCGGGTACCCCCTGCGGCGGCATTGGTGAGTTGCCACGTCAGCAGGCCACGTCAGCAGGCCACGTCAGCAGGCCACATCAGCAGGCCACGTCAGCAGGCCACATCAGCAGGCCATGTCAGCAGACTACGTCAGTACGCCAGCAGGCCATGTCAGCAGGCTACGTCAGCAGACCACGTCAGCAGGACACGTCAGCAGTGCCATGTCAGCAGCAAGGGATACCACATCAACAGGCCCCCGCCCGGTCTATGCTGTTGCGATCTCAAACAGCAGTCATGGACCAGAGGCCCGGGGAAGCAGACAAGGCTTATCAGGCCCGCATGCTGGCCTGGAGTACCGAGACAAAGAAACGGGCAGATGACGCTGCAGCAGCAGCGAAGAAGAAGGCCGAGGATGCCGAGCAGGCACGTCTGCTGGCACTTGAACAACAGCGCCAGCATGACAAGCAGCAGCAGGGGCTGCCGATGAAGAAAGGAACCAGCGTCGAGAGAAGATATTTACCGGAGAGAGGGCGTTACTGACAATGGCAGCGGAATGGCGAACCGACGCGGAGGATGGCAAGTTGGAGGATAGCGCAAACAAGATCGCGCTCCTCCTCTCGCACCTCACAGATCTCCTCGCAACCTGCATTACACAGCAGGCGGAGATCCTCGGTCTCGACACCTAGCTCACGTCCAAGACCGCCTTTAGCGGTTGGAGCAGCGACCAGTCACGACCAGTCACGACCAGTCGCCGTCGCCGACGCAAGCTCTTCCAACACTGTCGACCGCCTCAATGCATTGGAGATGGACGTCGGCTCACTCAAGGATGGCGTGCAATTACAGCAGACCACGATGCAACAGTTGCAACAGCGGATCTGCACTACCGCCACCACCTCRAGTTCAGAACCGCGCGAGACAACTCCAAAGTTCGACGGGCAGGAGATCTTCTGCGRCTCAATGAAGACAGATCCGATTCCATGGTTTCGCAAGTTCGAGCTCACGCTGCAGCTCCACAACGTCAAGGAACTCAAGCACCATGCATACTTGTACTCTCGCTCAGGGGGCGCGTGTCAGGCTTGGTTGGACAACCTGTTGTCCAAGTACGGAGTGGTAGCCAACGACTTGCACACCAAGATCAGTTGGGATGATCTGAAGGCGGCGTAGCACAAGCGGTTCCAGGTGGAGCCACCGGAGATCAAAGCCATGGACAAGCTCATGGTCTTCGAGCAAGGCACGCTGCCGAGTACGGACTGGATCGCCGAGTACCAACGCTTGACGTCAGTCCCAGACATCCAGAGGGGCTTCAAGGCCATCCGCCACTACTTCATCTCCAGGTCATGTCTGGCATTAAGCAATGCCCTGATTCATGTCGAGGACACCTTGACGACGACGGCGGAGTTGTTCGACAAGGCTACGCAGATCATTATCACGAACAAGGAGGCCAAGAACCTTCGTTCATCTGCGTCAGGCCCGAGCAGGGACCAGCATCGGCCAAGAGTGGTCGTGGTCGCAGCGGCAGCGCCGTTGGACCAAACCAGCGAGGCTGTGTCTGCCAGTGAAGGGGACAGATTCGCAGCCGCCCGGGAGGGTGTCCGCCCCGCCAGAGGCCGAGGACGCGCCAAGACGAAGACACACACCGCATCTAGCCCCGGGCCCGATGCAGCAGCTCAGACAGGCCCATGGACCCAGTATGGCATCTCCGAGCAAGCCTTCAAGGCGCGCGAGAGATTCCACTATTGCCTTTGGTGCAACAGCGATCTTCATCAGACGCAGGGTTGCCCATTGAAAGGCAAGGGCAGACAGGGAAACTGAGTACCGCCGAGAGTGACTCGACGACACTCTCGACGCCTTCGGAACCGGTTTCTTCACGAGTAACTGGCCTTCATTCCGAGGCGCACGCGGAAGTCGATAGTCCCCCTCTTCTACTTTCTTTTGAGGACAATGCTGCCCGGCTCGTTCCTACGCTGGGTACTCAAGCTCAAGGACAAGGAGTGTGTGCGGTTTCTTCTCCGTCCGGCAACGGCGACATATCGTCTTCAAGTGGTTCTTCACGGGATTCGGCACGCGAGTTCAACATAGAGGCATTGGACCCGCTCACGTCTGAGGACTTTGCATGGCTTCCTCTCCCGACCACA